TAGACTGAGGTACTTTTCCAAGAGTGGGCAACCCCGCCACAGTGGCCCCTCAGGGGACACAGTTGCAATGAAGACAGGCCCAGGCCCAGGCCCTGCCCCTGCCCCATGCATGGGGCTACTGGGGCCACTTGAGCCTAGATGACTGACAGCCTTGGGGCGGTGGAAAAGATGGGGTGTAGCAAGACCTGGGAGTGGTCGGTCATCTCTCAGGAAGCCCTCCCTTTATTATGTTTTGACGTTTAGCTTGCTTGATGTTCTATAATTCACATTCTGCAGCTCACCCCGGTAAAATATGGACTGCAGCGCCTCAGGGGCACCTGGGTGGCTCAAATTCTGAGTTAGCGTCCAACTTAGGCTCTGGTCATGATCTCACAGTCCATGAATTGACGTGAGGGAGCTTCCCATTCAGGCTTTTGTGCTTTGCAACAGCTCAGAGCCTATGGAACCTACTTTGGATTCTCTATGTCTCCCTCTCTCTCTGACCATCCTTGTTCATGCTCTGTCTCTCTCTGTCTCACCAAATAATAAACATTAAAAAAAAATTTTTTTTTTAAATGGACAACTCAGTGTTGGTCTTTAGTATATTTTGGGGATTGTCCAAACATCACTATCTTAGAACATTTTATCACCCCCAAAAGAAACTCATACTGCTAAAAAAAAATTTTTTACATTTATGTATTGTTCTGAGAGAGAAGAACAGAGCACCTGTAATGAAAATGAGTGGGGAGGGCAGAGAGAGGAGAGGAGAACTACAAGACTCGCTGGCTCAAACTCTAATGTCAGCAGCAACAGCTCAAACCCACAAACCTGATCATGACCTATTTACTCAGGCACTCACCTTTTTTTTTTTATAATGTTTTATGTATTTTTAGAGAGAGAGAGAGAGAGAGACAGAGTGTGGGCAGGGGAGGGTGCAGAAGGAGACACAGAAGTCTGAAGGCTCTGAGGCTGGCCGACTTTGGAGGCCAGATGCAGGGCTGAACTCATGGACAGTCAGATCATGACCTGAGCTTGGTCGGACTCCATTAGCCACCCAGAGCTGTCTCTCCTTTTAAAGTTGGCATTCCCATACAGCCCTTCATTTTTCTCTCCCAGCCTAAATTTTAATCACTTTTCTCTCTATGAATTGACCTATTCTAGGTACCTCATATGTATTATAAATAAACCAATATTGCTCTTTTGGGTCTGGTTTCTTTTCACTCCAACCTAGTTTTTTCAGGGGTTGATCCATGTTATAACACTTTCTTTTATGGCTGAATAATATTTTCATTGTATTAAAATACCCCTCATTTGTTTATCTATAATAGGCATTTTGGGTTCCTTTCACTTTTTGGCTAATTATGAATAAAACCTTCGGTAGTTATTACACACAACTTTTTTGGACATATGGTTTTTTTAAAACACTTTTAATGTTGTTATTTTGAAGAGAGACAGAATGTGTGAGGAGGAGGAGAATGGAGAGGGAGACACAGAATCGAAGCAGTCTCCAGGCTCTGAGCTGTCTAGCCTGAAACCCGGCCTGTGGGCTAGAACTCACAAACTTTGTGAGATATGACCTGAGCAGTTGGACATACCTTAACACCGACAGGCCACCGGCGCCCTGGACATATGTTTTTCCCATTTCTCTTACATATATACCTAGGCAGAGTGGGTGTTGGTTCATATGGTAACTCTTTTTCTAACTTTTTATTATGAATATATATATATAACATAAAATTCATCATTTCAACCATTTTTTTAATATAATTTATTGTCAAATTGAACTTTTTCCATACAACACTGCCAGTGCTTCTGCATCCCAACAGGTGCCCTCTCAGCCCCACCCATCTGTCACCACTCCCTCCCACCCCCCATCAATCCTCCTCAATGTTCTCTCGGTTTTAAGGGTCTCCCTATGTTTGAGCTTACCCCTCTCTCTAACCTTTTTTTTTGCTTTTCCCCTCCCTCCCCCCATAGGTCTTCACCCAAGTTTCTCAGGATCATAAGGTGGCTGTATGGTATCTGTCTTTCTCTGTGACTTATTTCGATGACCATAACACTCTCCAGTTCCATCCACGTTGCTACACGAGATACACATATTTCATTCTTTTCTGTTTTGCCACATAATTGTTCAGCATTCTAAACCATTTTTTAAGCCTGGTCTCAGTCTTTTGGTAGCACTTCCTCAGTGTTGTTTTGCTACCATTTCTAAAGACTTTTTTATTATTAAACCGAAACTCTAAACCTTAATAAGTCCCCAGCTCCTCTCATCCCCACTCTCACTCCAGCCTGTTTTTTTTTTTTTTTAATAGTACTTATTTGAGAGAGGGAGGAGAGGGGCATAATAGGAAAGGCAGAGAGAAGAGAAGGAGAGAGAGAGAGAGAGAGAAGGGGAGCTTCCAACAGGCTTTCTCGCTGTCAGCGCCCAGAGCCATCTTGGGAAACTGATGCTGCCTGTAAAACTGAGGGGAGGCTGCTTGACTGAGCTTAAAATAGAGTCTGAAAGTCAACTGACTGAGCCACTCAGGTGCTTGGCGGTCCCTGGTTATCCCTGATACCTACTGATCTCTGTGAATTTCTGATGCCCCATAAGTAGAGATCTTGTCTTAGGTTACTGAAACGACTTCACTTAACCATGACATTTCAAGGTTGTTCATAGTACAGCCTGTATCAGAAACTTCATTCCTTTTTAAGGTTGGAAAATGTTCCTGTGTGTGTATACCACATTCTTTTATCCATTATTGATGGACATTTGGATTGCTTGAATGACAGCTTTTGACTGATGAATGTCTGCTATAAACATTGACATGCGGTGTCTCTTTTGACTTCCTGTGTTTCCATTCATTTTTGGATGCGTAACTAGAGGTGGAATTGCTGCTTGGATCATATAGTAATTCTGTTATTGTAGCTTTTGAAGAACAGACAAACTTTTCCAGGGTGCTTTGTACAGTTCTGCATTCCCACCCAGTCTCACCACAGTTCCAGTTTCTTCTGTCTCAACCAGCACTTTTGCTGACCCGC